AATAGATGTAAAACAATGTTGCTACACACTCATGAACAGTAGGTGGCGGTATGCACCTTAAAGTTGCTTGCGATCCGCCATGATAGAAAAGAAGACAGTTTCAGCCAAAAGAGGACAAACCCAGAGCATAATGCTGCCACCACTGTGCTCAGCAGGATCCTTTGGGTCAGTCTTTACTGGACCGGAACCGGTTCTTCAGAAGGTGTTCCCCTCTGATCTCCAGCATGAAGTCCATCCATCCTGAAATGTTCTGATCGTCACAAAAACAAACTTTTATTCTCAATCAGCAGAACTAAAGAGAACCCGGAACCAGAAGAAATAAGAAACAGGACATCAGTTTTTAAAATCCTTTTAATGAAAAACAGAACAATGAAGACATCCAAACAGAACCCTAACATGATCCAGTCCATCCGAACCTCTAAGCGGACCTCAGCAGCTCCAGCAGCTCCTCGGCGCTCGGCCTGCGGCGGACCTCCGCGCTCCAGCAGCGGCCCAGCAGCTCCGCGCGCCGCCGCCCCTGCGCTGACGCAAACACCGCGTGGCTGAGAGACGGCCGCAGGTCGCGCGCCACCACCGCGTAGAGCACATGCTGCCTGTCGCCGGTGTAGGGGGGCTCCCTGGTAAGCAGCTGCCACATGGTGATGCCCAGGGAGAAGATGTCTGCCTTTGGGGTGACCGGCTGCCCCCGCAGCAGCTCCGGCGCGCGGTGGGAGTAGGTCCCGCAGCCGTGGCTCAGCAGCGGGCTGATGGAGCTGGGCGCGCGCTCCCGCTCCAGCTGGAGGGAGCAGCCGAAGTCCGCCAGCTTGCACACCCCCCCGGGAGACAGCAGCACGTTGGGCGGCTTGACGTCCAGGTGGACCAGGAGGTGGGCGTGCAGGAAGCGCAGCGCCTCCGCCATGTCCGAGGAGAAGCGGAGGCAGCGCGCCTCCTCCAGCGGCTCCGGGCTCTCATAGATCACCTGCTGCAGGTTCCTGCTGCCCACGAACTCCATCACGATGGCCCCGATGCTGCCCTCGTCCTGGAAGTCCGCGGGCACGCACGTGCTGGCGGCGAGCACGCGCACCACGTTCCTGTGGCTCAGGTGCGCGGCGTTAAGCTCCGCCCAGAAGCTCTGCCTGGAGGCCAGCCGGTTCTTGGACCTCCGCTTCACCTTCTTTAGCGCCACCGTCTGGCCCAGGTACTCCGCCCTGTACACGGAGCCGAAGCCCCCGGAGCCCACGGCCTCCACGCAGCGCAGCTGCTGCCAGTGGATGACGGAGGACCAGGGCCGCGAGCCCAGCTTCCCGTGCAGCCGCTGGGGGGGCACCTGCAGGGTGGCCCCGAGGCCCCGCTGCTGGAGGGGGCTGCTGCACACCGAGATGTCCGCAGACGGAAACAGGTCCTTAGGTAGCAGGCGCGTGGGGGGAATGGGAGAAGGCATGGCGCGTGGAGAGGCCAGGTGTGCCCGTCAATTAATGAGGAGCTGAACGCGATGCATGCTGGGTAATCCCATGGCTGAAGCCCCAGTTTAAAAATGTCTCAATATGGACCAACAAAGCCTCGTTTAGTTAA